TACTTCCAGAAAAGATGGGTGGGGGTGTGCGGCCCACTTCCCAAAACCCTTACCCTATTTATGACCAAAATCTGCGTTTTTTGCTGCCCTATTTATGACCTATCCAAAAATTCGATAGCCTATTTATGACCGTTGCGGCTGACACAGTTGCCCCAAACATAAGTTATCAAGGGCTTTTGTTGACAGTTTTATCGATGAAGACGAAAAGGTAGCTTCTTCTAAGAAACATATCCATTTCAAGACTAGAGTGCTAAAACCATACCCTATTTATGTCAAAAATGGCCAAAATCGATACCCTATTTATGACCAAAACGGCTGAAAAACCCTACCTTTGGGGCCGCACATACCTATATAGCCCATATGAGAGAGTACTCCCCCAGACGGTAACGATGTTCGAATTATGGGCTTCTTTGGAGACGAATTTCATAAGGAGAACCTGCACTTTAAAGGCTGAAACTTCGGTCAGTGGCTAAACTTAATGCAAGGTTTTTATTAGCGTCGACAAAAAAGATATGTTTTTTTGGAGTAACCTCCTTTAAGGTCGCTTAATAAAGCAGCCAATTTGCTGAGCTAAATAATTGTGATTCCTGAGAACAGGTGTAGTGCTTATCCTGACCTTAGCTCAACCGTGTTTTTCTTGGCACGCTCAGATTGCGCGTGTCAAAACATGGACCATCATTTGCAAACGGCGACAGCAACGGGGGTCTGGGGTGGTTAAAATATAGCTTTTTACTGGTGGTACAACGGCCGTGTAAGGTCTTAACTGGTATCTCTTGCAACATTTCGTGGACGTTGTCTGTTTTTGTGCATCTTGAACGACTGACGAACTATGAACGGCATAGTGCGCTGAAATCCCGTCTTTAAGCCCCGGCAAAACGATCACAACATTTCAACGCAACATATCACAATTCAACATTCAAGTGAATATATGAAAGGTCGTATATTTGAACTGCGGAGAGAGCTATCAAGACATGATTGATCATCAGAGTTCTACACACAACTTAAGCATTTGTGAAATTAAAGCCAGAAGAAAAAAATGGCGGGCCTGAACGGGATTCGAACCCATGACCTCTGCGATACCGGTGTAGTGCTCTACCAACTGAGCTATCAAGCCAACCTGGAGTTGGTCACGTTGCGAGATCGTAATACACCCGTAGATGGTGAAGAATACAAGTGAATATATAAAAGATCATATATTTGAACTGCGGAGAGAGATATGAAGACATGATTGATCATCGCAATTATACACATCAGTTGTGTCGCACTAAACACGGTGGCAAAACGCCCAACAATGTTGCGATATGTTGCGTTGAAATGTTGCGATCGTTTGGCCGGGGCTTTACAGAACACGCACAAAACATGAATGTCAGAAAACGTCAGACTCAACAGTTGTCTATGAAATGCATTTGATAAATCTTAAATAGCCATGAAAGTTGCGCCAACGACAACTTGCGTTAAAAAGTTATTACATTTTGCGTCGATTTTGTTACATTTTTCGTTAGTATTACATTTTGCGGCGTTTCTCATTACATTTTTCGTCAGTATTACATCTTGCGGCGTAACACGAACGCAATATGTTGCTCTAGCAATGTTTCGTTGAAATGTTGTGATCATTTGGCCGGGGCTTTCGACATCGGGAAAAGGCCGGACTTGTAAAAATAAGAACGTTCGCGCTAATTTTTAGTGCGCATACTTACTGGTCACCCAAAACAGAGCATATCATGACGAGAACGGATGAAGTATCTTGTTTATTTTGATAGATCTTTTCAACTCCAATTTTCCCTTTGATACATTTTTCAACATTTTGCGAAAAAGTGAAAAGAATCTATAGATGGGAAGTTTAAAATTTTTGCCTCACGAGTCACCGAATTCCGCTCTTTTGAGCCCTAAGTTTAGCTGTGCGACGGTTTTAAATGCTTATTTAAGGATTAAGGAATATGAAAAGAAGATGATAACACTTCGAATTACTAACGCTACTGACCCAGTTACAAAAAACAATTTATAGCGATTTAGCCAAGCCTAAAAGCGGAGCTCCCATAAAATACTGATCATTTACGCTACACAATAACCTAAAGAAATTCACCAATATGCATTTCCCCGATCTATTAAACTGAACAAAACGAGGAAATCTACATAAACACAATATGCATATCTTGACCTCAGAGTATCAATATGACAAGATAACTAACCGCCTTTGACTTATCTTCAATATTTTATAGTTTAAAACTAAAACCACGGATATAATTCTGAGTTACCGGCGCCAGTTTTCCAAAATCAGGATATTTCTTTTAACACACTCTATCTCTGAAACGAAGTCAGTGATCCACAATGTTTTTTTGCACTTCTGACACAAGTAACTCATTATCTATGGAAAAAAATTGAAAAAAACTCTTATCTATTATAAACGTTTCGCGCGAATTTCGTTGTAATATGACAACATAGGTCATTTAAGGTTTGTGTATAAAGAACGCGAATTAAATTAGGGAAGATCATGCCAAGGAACCCACGCTCCCCCGTGGTATTTAGGATTAGCCCTGGGGTCCATATGCTTATTCCTGGGGGGAACGCTGGAGTTCCTGTATTCTTCTAACTTGGCTAACAACTTCTGAACCAAGTCTTCGTGCTGGCTCGCCAAGTTCACGTACTCGCAGGGATCTTGTTCAATATCAAACAGACATGGTCCTGAGGACTTGCTGCAGTCAGGCGCGGTACTGGGGGGATCGCCGCACGTCACCACTGCGTTTTTTAACGTTCTGTTGGATAAGTTCGATTGTTCGTATCCTGGCGGTGGGTACCATCCATTCCAGGCTTTGCCTGCCAAGCAAGGCGCCACTTGTTTTAGTTCTTGTTTGAAAAGACACTCGAGAGACATGGGGTGAGTTGACTCCAATACCAAGGCCAACTGACTGACCTACTGTGACTGACTGACTGACGTGGTGACTGCCTGACTGCCTGACTGACGTCGTGACTGACTGACTGTCTGATGGGGTGATTAACAGACTGACTGACTGACAGACTGACTGACTGCCTACCTGCCTGCTTGCCTGACTGACTGACTGACCGTCGTGGTGACCGACTGACTGCTTGACTGACTTACTACCTGCCTGACAGACTGACGTGGTGACTAACTGACTGACGTGGTGGCTGACTGACTGACTGACTGACGTGGTGACTGACTGACTGATGTGGTAACTGTCTGACTAACTGACGTGGTGACTGACTGACTGACTGACGTGATGACTGACTGACTGACTGACGTGGTGACTGGCTGACTAACGGACTGACTGACTTATTGCTTGATACAGTGGTTGATCAAGTTTTAGATTTATGATCAGTTCATTGACTGATTGAATGCTTTATTGATTGGAAGGATTGTCGGATTGACGGACTAACTAAATAATTGATTGATTGGTCGATCAATCAATCAATCTTTTGATTTCTTGATTGATTGGCTTTCCGACTGACTGCACCATAACAACATTTCTTGTTTTGGTCCTTCTCTACCTGGTCCTCTACAAACGTGAACCCAAACAAAAAGAGTAATAGGCCACTTCTGAGTTGCCTTTTGCCTCCGTGTCAAAACGAGTCTTCGAGCAAAACCATTCATGTGAAAATGAGTTCCGCCTACAGCTTCATTTTCATGCAAATCAAAGTCATTTTTATATGAAAGGTTTTGCAGGAAGACTCGTTTGAAACAGAGGCACAAGATAACTCAGAAATGGCCTATTCGATAACACACGGCATCCTGTTTGATCTTACCTGCATTAACCAGAATTTTCCACTGCCCATACCGCATTGCAGCCTCTCCGCCACTCGGGTGAATATTGTGCAATAGTTCCTGTCTAGGTGAGCTCTTTCCACTGGACAGCGTGTCCCACACATTATACCCGTCCACGTTACGGAGTTTGCTAGCACTTCCACCCGCTAACGCGTACAACGTTGGAAGCCAGTCGGTCACGTGCATCAGGTCCAGGCTTACACGGCCTTTTGACTCCAAAAGGGGACTGTGGACGAAGGCTGCTCCACGTACACCGCCTGTTCATGTTATGAGGAAAGTGAAGAACATGCGACATGTTGATAAATAATTGTGGAAAGCGGTAATATAAATATCACTAGGTATTCATGGATGCTAACACGACATGCATTCCTCAAATGCTTGAAAAATTTTATGAAGGCAGTTTAAGGAATCTAGAAAAATAACAAGAGGATTTATGTCTAAGGGTAACGTGGAATAGCAAATAAACCAACTTAAGGTTAAAAAGTGCCATCATCGTCATTATCATCATCATCATTATCACCGCCATCATCATTAACGACGACGACAACAACAACAACAACAACAACAATCTCTATTGCCAGAAATATGACAGAGTTAGAATGAGAGAACTTTCATTGATATAGAATATCGGTACGCTTGCCTTCCCACAGAGTAGCCTTGAGACCACGCAAAGGGAAATTAGAGGCCATGTTCTTGTCCATCCCTGCTGCTGGACCACCATTGTCCGTTGTGAAGACGATCACGGAGTTACTGTACAAACCTTTCGCCTCTAAGACATCTCTTATCTTTTTAAAAGAGAAAATACTGAAAATAAAAATACTTGATTTTAAAACCTTTCGTTTTGCTTAAAATTCGGGCAACAGAAAGCCCTTCGTATGGGAAAAAAACATTTCTTTTTTTTCTGGTGGGAGACCAAATAGAACGGGCCTTTCTAATGAAAATTTTTCGGAAAACGTGAAATACCTTCAAAGGTATCCCTCTTTTCTCGTTTAACCGGAGTGATCGGAAATTTCTGTACCATTTGCTTTTTTACACTATTCCCCCGCTCCTTGATGAAATACCCAGCCGTTTTGGGAAATGAAATGGAATGGAACAGTCCTTTCCGCTGGAAGGTCTTCAAATGCTGTCAAATTGTACACCCTCGTTCGGTCTCATTTTGTTTATCAGTTGAAAAATTGTACAGTTCCATTTGGTGGAAAATTCTTACCGGTTTTTCCACGCAAATGAAAATCACTCAGGAGGTTTTGAGTAATTATAACCTGAACAACAAGGTTTTATTTTTGGCCAACCAGATGATTTAAGAAAACCTTTTATCCTTGGGTTGCCATCGGTTGTGCTGAGTGGTGATTGATTTATTAGACTTCCGCTCATTGCCTTTGACAGTGTGATTGTTTTGGCTCACAGAGAAGGTTATGATCGACTGCAAAAAATAATTATGATTCTGCTTTGTTTCCGTGTTGACTAAGCATTTTGATTGTTATCTTGCTCTCGAGCCAACCAACTAAATGTGATTTTGCTTCCCGTGGCTGCAGCTACATTCACTTCCCGCATTTCGCAGCGTTTGCATGTTTTCCCGCGTTTGGCAGTGGTCGGCAGCGTACAAGACTTTTTTCCCGCGCTAAATATGGGTTACGCGTGAGCGATAACACTTTTTCCGGCGCTTTGCACCAGCTGCATGTTTCCCGCAAGTCGCAACGTTTGCATGTTTTCCCGCGTTTCACAGCGGTAACATGATTGTTTTCCCGCGCTAAATACGGGTTACATGTAATCATAGTTAATAGGCCCTTTGCAGCTGGGGTCACGTGACCACATTTTTTCTTAAAAAAATTGCTATTATGGGCTATAACTTAAAGAATGCCAGAAATGGAAAGAGCATACTGAAAATACCAAAATGGCCAAGTTTGAGGCGCCCATCTATTAAGAATGAGATTTTACGACTGTCTGAATTTTTAAAAAATAAGAAGATTTGTATGGAAAAAGTTGTTGGAGAGCAAGACCTTGCTCTCCAGCAACAATTTCCATACAAATCCTCTAAATTTTCCAAAAATTCAAACTGATGNTTTTAAAAGAAAAAATGTGGTCACGTGACCCCAGCTGCAAAGAGCCTATAGAGGGGACTGGCCCATTACCCTCTATTAACTATGATGTAATCGGTTACACTTTTTCCCGCGCTTTGCACCAGCGGCATGTTTTCCAAAGTGTTTGCATGTTTTCCCGCGTTTGGCAGCTGCATGTTCTTCGAAACCTGATTGGTTCATTACATTAATCCCTCGTTCGTTGGAGATAAATCTAAACGAACATTATTTTAAACCTTAAAATGAAACTTCCTTTAGTTTTTACCTTTCCCACAGCATCATCCAAGGCAGTGACCATTGCAGCATAGATTCTTCTGCGTTCATCCTCGATATTTTTAAATTTGTTGATCAATTTTTCAGGAGCCTGAAGAGGCTGGATTTTATTAGCACTGTGAACTGCTTGATAAGGGAGGTACAGGTACAATGGTTTGGATGCATCATGTGACTGGATAATGTCGATAGCCACAGTGGTAAATAGATCTGTACTGTACATTCCCCATTCTGTAAAGACATTCTACAAAAAAGTGAAATGATTAAGACACAACACAAACAAGCAACATTAAGCCCTGGGCCAGTATATCATTGAAATGAGTTTCTAAGTGTGTTTATAACTATGGGCACCTGTTTTAGGGTGGGTTACGAGTGCCAGGGGGAGGGAGGGGGACGATGGCCATAGTGGTGTGTAGTTTATAACAAATATACAAAATTTTTTCACTGACATGCTTCCAAAAAGGCTACAGTGTTCTCTGCAATTACCAAAATAAAAAATATATACTTATATTACCTTCCAGAAATTCCTTGGGCAGATTTTCTCAGTATCATTGCTGCATGGTGGTGGTGGTCAGGGAGGGGAGAGGGGGGAGGGTGTTATAACCAAAGTATTTCTTGTGCCAGAGAACTATGATATGCTAATTTTTGTGTGCACTAGGGGAGGGTGGGGTTTGCAAACGGGACCCCTGGGAAAGGTCAGTGGCTTACCATTTGAAGAAAATACTCCTAAAAAATTGTCCAATCCATTACATTTGTGAATAATCATTGGACAACCTATTCTTGGAATGAGGAAGTAGATGACTGACCAGATGAAGTAGATGTGTTCTAATTAATAACTTCAAGCAATATCTGTCTGTGAGTAGTAACCTCAGTGTTATTATGGAAATCCAGTCCCCAGCCCCCACCAGGAGCAGAGGAGGAGTGGTCCCAGTAGTCTTCCTTGCCTGTCCAGTAACCAAAGAATGAGTCAAATCCACGCTTGGAAGGAGTGTAGGCAACCTTGAAGAAGCCAAGATGCCACTAAAATAAAACAAAAGACCAGTATATTTAGGAACGAGGCAGGAAGTGACTTCAATGATTGATCAATGCAAGCCTGCAAGTAGGCTCAATCTGTCGTGATTTGAAGGAAGAAAGAAGGAGAGAATCCTGGCTGAGAGCTAGGTTACAAGTTTATATTATATCCACACCTTTCCTCTCAGTTAAAAGGGACATGTGGCAGTGCAAATTGTAGGGATATTGGGTTAATAAATAAATGTAAGTAAGTCTGCAGCAATTCTAATAAATAATAGTCAGCAGTAGTTTTTCATCTCATTTTAGACTAACTTGTCGACACTTAAAGTCACTTGAAGTTGATAAAAGGTCCATTGCCAGCTGTAACGAGTTTCTAAGGCTGATGTTATACATAAAGCGAGGCCATTTGTCAGAGAAATGTAACCTGAAATTGTGCCTTATTTCAGTTCAAGATTTGGAAGCTACATAGATATTTTTTGTTGCAACCTACATGAAAAATGCCAAACCTTGCCAATGCCATGAGTTGCATATCCAAGTTCTTTTAGGTACTGTGGCATAAGAGTCTCATTCAATCCCAGTCCATAAGGCTGTGCTGCATAAATAACTCCAGACTGCATGCCTAGAAGAGAGCATTAACAAATGGGAGAAGGAAACTACTTGAATTGGTAATAATTCAACAGACTGGACTCAAGAAACTTAGATGGTGCATTACCAGTGCAGTTTATATTCCCAAGATACAGTGCAGTTTGTTCTCCAAGTCAAGTCAGACCTGGGCACTTTAACTCAGCCAGATTAAATTGAGAAATTACCACGATATAACAAAAACCTGTAGCACTGTCAAAATGTACTGGCAGCTGACAGTTCCCTCCCCCTGCCACCTACTTTACACACTGCATGGAGTTCACTAATCAAGGGCTAATAACATTAATT